AGTGTGAGCAGGTGCCGTGGCGTTGGGGAGCACAACCACGGTGCCAAAGGGCGGGGGAACCCCGGCCGAGACCTGTCGGGCAAGCTGTGCCTCCTCGGACAGCCGAGCTGGTCACAGTCATTGGCCACAGGTGGCCTATGACGAGGCTGGATCTTTGGATCCAGACGTTATGAACATCTATGTAAGGGATGTTCATAATCTTGGAGACAAGGCACGTCTGGGGGCAGACTTTCCACGGGAAACATCTCCCTTCCATTCCATTTCGCTGTGGACCTAAAATTGCTCTACAGAATAAAGGCCATTTTAAACATCCTTGAAAGTGTTATTTGCAGAACATGCTCTAGTAACTGGCAGTAACCATTCTTAGGTGGGGGGGATTCTCTCAAGTGTAATTATAATATAGCCCCCTGCCCCCCCTCCAAAACCCATGATGCTGGTGTTTTGACTCCAGCCTAAGCTCGGAACACTTGCCTGAGTTCCGGCCTCGCAAGCCTAGTCAGAGACTCCCCTGCAGGGGAATCTGATTTATGAGCTGTGACTGCCAATTTGCTAGATTTGTCTTCTCAATGAAGCCTATTGAGTCCAGTTGAATTTATTGTTTTTTTTTTTAATAAAGATAAGCCAAGAGCTAGCCATGCCATTATAGACATGAGACCCCGATCAACCAGGAATGCAATTTCAATGGCATAAAAACAATCTCTGCGTTACGCTCCTCCCCAAAAGATTAGTGAGTCGTCATTGCCTCTAACTTCTGTGTGGCCTTCACCCCGAATCTGCCCTTCCAGATGACGTTCAAGTATCCAAGGCTTTTTTCATTGCTCTACCGCTGGGGGGTGTTCTAGCGTTTTCCATCACACACCCTTCCCCATCTGGAATGTGAAAACCCACAGAAAATAAACGGTCAGGGCTGTGTTACTGCAAACATGATTCTGCTGATTTCCCAGCTGCCGCCCCAGTAACTGTGGCTGCGGAGGAGACCTAGGAGAGTTCTTTCCCCAGGACGCTGGCACGGGAGCCGGCCGCAGCGGGCCTGGACTGCCTGTGACCTGGCAGAGGCTCCCATTGTATCGCTGAAAAGAATTTTTTAAAAAAGGTAACTTTGACTCCATTATTCCAAAGAGAAATTTAGGAAAGAGCACGGACCAGCAAGGGAGAAATGAACGGCAACACTGAAAAGGGCACGTCCCCATCGGGGATCAACCGTTGGCAGCAGAGGGGGCCTCACACACTTTTAATTTGATCTTTACAACACATCCATCGTGCGTAAGTGGGGATAATTTGACGGGACCGCGGAACAAGGCGGTTGTTGCTCAGAATGATTGCTGCGGGGCCCATCGGCGGCACAACCCGGCCCGACGCCACGCACACGCGTGGGAGGCGGGACCCACAGGTGATTGGAAACATTTGACAGAAGCCAGTGCGCTCAGAACAGATTTCCGGGGAGCAGGGGAAAGCAGATGCTATGATCTGAGTTTCAATGAACCGGAACATAAGACCAGAAATAGGTAGCAATGGAGAAAGGATTTGCTTTTAAGAAGTACAACAATTTGCTTTCTAAGTTGTTGCAAGAAAAACGGAAGCAAGCCTGGGTGGGAGGAGCTAGATGCGGTGGGGAGGTACCCACCGAGGTACAAATGTGCCTCGGAGTTGTGACTCTGAGGACCGTCCATCTTTAGATCTAAACTTCAGCCTTCCTGCTCCGGTGGACGCTGCTCCCGCCCTGAAGTCCACTCCCGGCCCAAAGGTCAACGACTCAGTTATTGGCACGTGATTGGTGGCGACACTCCCATGCAATCCTCCTGGGGAAGTGCGCTCGCCCCCCCTGGGGGGCCTGTGTCTCGTCCTTCCCCACATTTCACCAGCACTGAGCTCCATGCGCTGCTCGGCCCTACCAGGGATCATTAATATTTGATCAAATGGACGGTGCTACGGCACCGTGTGAGGAGGCTCTTCCACTGGGGCCGGGGAATGATCCGACTTTCTCTCTGCCTCCCAGCATCCTGGACCCTGAAGCAAAGCCACTGCTCCATCCAGAAAGGAGAGAGGATGTGAAAGGCCTGAGGTGGGTGGGACAGGCAGCCCCGGAGAGGAGCGTCCTGGACAGAGAAATTGAAGCTGCACAAACCTGACAGAACCAAAGGCTCAGTGTGCCGAGGTGGAGCCGCCCTGAATTTTAACAGAAGACTAGGAGCAATGGCGCTCTTCCCGGACTTTTCTGGAACTGCGAGAGTCGTCGTGGGAGCCTCACCGCCCAGCTGCTCTGGATCATTGTCGCCCTGACAACGGGCTGTCGCATTTGGAGACAGCGGTTTAGACGACTGTATTCTCTGTTCACTGCCCCCCGCAGCACCCGGAATGAATGCCAACACTCCCAGGATTCGGGGCTGCCCTTGGGAGACAGCAGTTGGCACAGGTCCCCAGACCGTGGAGAAGACAGAGGGACAGCCCCATGTGACGCGGAGATGGGCACATGGTGGGAAGCGACCCAGATGTGGTTCCCAGTCCCCGTCCTCAGGCCAGAAGACCCCACCCAGCCCTGCCGCTCTGGGCCACTATGGAAAGAGCTGCTGCCATCTACCTCTTCTCCCTTAAAATGATGACAGCCAGAGGCCACCGATGCTCCCGGGGACTCGGGAGGGTGGGTCACGCCACACTTCCTAAAGCCACCTTCCTTTCCGCGTCCCAGCGTGAGTGCGGGGCAACCACAGAGTCAAACCTGTGCTAGTCACTTTGTTACAGAGGGTTCCGCTCTGTGCAAAGGACAGGAAAGGCACAAAGGCCCCCTCCGCTGGAGCCGAGGGACCCGGGCTGCCTCCCTATTCACAGACGATGCGAGTCAGTCCAGTTCCCAGCTGACCTAAATCCTCAGCAGCTTCATCAGGAACTAGGACGAGTACCGGGTGGGGCCGAGGGGGATTCATGGCCGAGTGTTTGTGCAAAGCCGGGTTTCTTCTTGTGTTGCTATTCATTAGCGACTGGATTACTTTTCAGAGCCTGCTCTGCCGCCCCCCCTCCCCCGTGTTTGCCTCCCTCCTTCCCCATTTCCTCGCAGCTCCATCCTGTACCTCCCGGCAGGTGAGTCCAGGTTTTCCCGGTCGGCCGGGTGTGTTCAACACCGTACAGAACCCTGCACCCAAACATCTCAGGCGACCCCGGCTTACTCACAACCCCCCCACACGGGATGAGGCTACACGCTTTTTTCGGATTTGCCGCTGATGTGGTTCTGGGGCTCCTTCGTCTATAAGGGACCGTCACACCTCCACATTTTTTTTACACCACTTTCGCAACATCGTTTACACGAACAGGTTAACAGAAATAAAACCCATATTTCAGGAAGACGTGTGCGTTCCTCCCCCCACGCCCGATTCCGGAACACTCGCATCGCGCCGCAGGGAAGCCTCATTTGGGCGCGTCAGTGTGGGCGCGTGGGTTGTGCCGACCGGCGGGAAGGTGGGTAACGGGGGGCTGGGCGCCTGAGCGGGGGCGGGGCACGCATGGGAAATCTCTGCATCGTCCTCTCAGAGTGGCTGTGACCCGAAAACTTCTCCGAAAGCAGTATGTCCTAAAAAAAAAGGAAAGCTCGTACCTATTAGCGGCCGCTTCTTGGGGTCCCTGCCCGCAGCCTCGGTTGCCTGGTAACCGCCGGTCAGCTTTCCTGTTCGGTTTCCGGGGTCACCCGTGCTGCTGGGTGTAGCAGCATCTCTCCCCTTTTCTCCGCTGGGGAATCTTCCACGGCGCAGAGAGGCCGCACTTGCTCGCCTGCTCCACGGGCGGAGGGCGTTCGGGCTGTTTCCGCTTCCTGGCTCCTGGGGAGAACGCGCTGCGGGCGCCGTGGTCCAGCCTCTGTGCTCCCGCCAACCTTCTGCATCCGTGGAAACAATGGTCTCCCCGCCTTATTCCACCGACGCAGGTGTGCCGCCTGTGCCTTTTTAGGTGTGAAACCAACTTTTCCTCCCCGGGATGAACCCCTTTTGGTCCTTTTTTCACAGGTCGCTGGGTTCAGCTTCCTAGGATTTGGTGGAGGCGTGTGTGCGTCCAAATTCATGCGAAATACTGGCCCACGGCGTCCCTCTGTGGCCAAAACTGTATCTAGTTGGGTTTCAGGGTGAAGCTCGGCATCTTTTCACTGAAGTTTTGTGATGACAGTTTAAACATATGCCATGGTCTTCACTTTCTGTATCTGTGGAAGGTTTTTTTTCACATTGTATTTTGTCATTGGAAAGGCCAGTAACAGACCTCCAGTCTGTTTACTAAGGATGGGGACCTGGTTTCGCCCCCACACACAGGCGGTGGAACGACTACACGCATGGAGGGAGTCGTTACACACTGTCCACGCCTGGCCAGGGTTTCGGGCCGTCGAGAAGGACGCTTTCCCGTCGCCCTCACCTTAACGCCTCTGTTATCGCCCCTCCACGAACTCATCCGAGAACTTCCTTCCTCAGGGCCCCTCTCTCCTCGAAGCTTCTGTGCCCCTGACTTTTGGGGAATGACGTCCGCACACACACGTTTTTGCTGCAGGCTTTGTGCTGACAATTTCTGCGTACTTTTCCTTCCCTGAGAGACTTCCGACTGTGTTCACCCTTCTTTTATGTCGTCAGGAGCATCTAATACATACTTTAGCCTTAGCCCACACACTCATGTACATTGTCTCAATAATTTTCTTACTGCGTCCTTGATACAATACCCAGCATGCTGTGCGGTATCTACAATGATTAGATTTATCAGGCTGCTGGCTTTAAGCTCATCAAACATGGATAAGTAATTGTGAATTTTAACCGGAGGGTTCCCCCTGGTCAGCAGTCAAGCAAACAAACCCAAAGAATATAAGGTGGACCTTCCTCGCCGACAGCATAACACCATCATTTCACCAGGGGCACCTGGAGAACTGGAACCTGGGAAATGGAAACTGTATCATACGTAGTGACTTAAACAACCAGTAGGGAAAAAGACATTGTTTCCCCCTTGCAGGGACGAGCCGCTCCGAGAATACACAGAAGTACCTGGTGTCAGCAGGATGACCGAGGTGACGATGAGGGAACAGATGACCAGGATGACCAGGAGTGCGATGGCGATTCCTTTCCAGTTCCTCTGCGGAGGGTTGCTCCCCACCAGCTCCTGAAAGCGACAACATAGAGGAGACACTGGGTGAGCAGAGGAAAGAGACAAAACACGCCCACGCCACGCCTTCCGTCGAAGTTAGGACCCAGGTCACGGAACCGCGGGACGAGGCGTGTTCTCCTCCCTAGGCCGTGACCAGCTCGTTCCTCAGTCTCCTGTGTTCCCTGTACTGTGGCCAAACCTGAAGAAAGAATCTCATATTCCATTACGCTCATGGCTTTTGTGGGAACTTGGTGTTTCTTGGCTGAATAAATTTGGTCCTGAAGCGCAGGGTAAGGACAGTAGGGTTTTCTCTTCACTACAGCCCACCTGTGCTCCCCCAGAAAGTCAAAGCCAAGTGTGCTCCATCTTCCAGCCCTAAGTCCTCTCTCATCTGTCTTGGTTGACGCCACACTGTTTGTTAACTTGAGCCTTGTCTTCCTTCTACGGTTCCCCAGACAAGGCTTCCAGGCACCCTAGGACCATCTTCACGGGGTGACGCACCTGTCCCTATACTGGGATTCCGTCCCCTGCTGGGAGTTCTATTTGCATTGGAGCAGGGACTGGGGCTGGGAGGTGACATCTGTAGACAATGCTAAAGGGGGAATCAATCTAGGAATTTAATCAGGCATGCTGCCCGCTGAACCAAAACTTTAGTCCCTGTCAAATTATTGGGATTACGTAATTTGCAGTTCAAACTGGGATCCGGTGAGAGGCGAAGGAAGTGACATTGCAGATTAATAGTAAGTTGGAAATGTAATACTGATGTATTCATAATTATAATTATTAATTAGACAAGGGCAACTGGGACTCCCCAGGGTGAAGAGAGACAGATGGTCACACTGCAGATGGAGTTTTTCTGCCTGCACACAGATCACAGAATATCCCGTCACAGCCCAGCACTCCGACACGTGTTGACCCCCAGTCAGGACGAAACTGAATGGCGGCGACCTCTAAAACAGAGAAGGTGATACCTAAATACTTCTTTATCAAAGACTACATGTTCTTAGACCAAATGGCTACAAATCAAAACAAAGCTGATACTTGACTATGGGATGGCAAATAATTAATACCGGACATCTAAATATTTAAGATTGACCGTCCACATGATCAAATCAAGAAAAATTAGACTCCAAACACTCAACGCCGGCTTAATTAGGCTAGAGAATTAAGGAAAATTCAGCTCAAAGCAGCAAACATTTGCTACCTACGTTGTTAAATAAATATTCTGAGAGCTGTTACAGTCTGAGCAAGACATAGTTCTGTACCTGCTTAGAAATTCCTAGCAGTATTCTTATTTGCCATCCACAATTTAATTGATCAATTACAAAGGACTTTTTGCACTTCTAGCCTTGGCTGGTGTGGCTCAGTGGGTTGGGCCTCATTCATCAAACTGAAAGGTCGCCAGTCCCATTCCTGCTCAGGGCACAGACCTGGGTTGCAGGCCAGGTCCCCAGTAGGGGGCGTGTGAGAGGCAACTGATCAATGTTTCTCTCTCACATCAATATTTCTCTCCCTCTCTTTCTTTCTCCCTCCCTTCCCCTCTCTCTAAAAATACATACATAAAATATTTAAAAAAATAAGACTCAATACAGGCATGGAATCCCGACACCATGTTATACAGAGACAATCTCCTTTCCTACTGGATCAGGTTTTTTCGTGAGAACGCCAATACCCGGAAGTGATAGGATCTTGCTGACTTGGCAGCTTTTCACTTTACCCGCAATTACAAGGAAAATCAGCCCTTTCCCTCAAATTCGTGAATTGCATAAATCTCAAAGCAGTTCTATCCCTAAACCAACATAGCGTGGACAACCTCTTGCAGACATTTCTCAAACACTGATCAGATTGAATGCCAGGGTCACCAACCAAAACCTAGTACATAGATACTCACTAGTCTGCAAAACTGAATGTATCAATACTCAACACCAAGTCTTCCTCCGGATCTGGAAGGACACGGTTCATGTTATTGCTTCATCAGCTCAAACAAGTGATGTATTTTGAATTTTTGTTCCCAAGAAGAAGAACCTGGAGTTCTAAATTCTACTTTAAACCCGTCTATCAGACGTTCAGAGGCAACCAGCCGAGGACTTCTGCTTTCTGCCACTTTCTTAACCAGCGAGGAGCACTGCAGCCGAGCCCCTTGAGAGTTTCATACCCCTGTTTTGTTTTGTTTTGGGGCAGCTGGAAGTAATCAAATTCTTAATTAGGACACACACAGGGGCTTTCAATGTTTCCATTGCTTTTGTCACGGAGCGTATAGTCAAAGATGAAGGAGTGTTTTTGCGGTCTGCAGGCCTGGACGGCAGGCTCCAGGAGAAATGTTTGAACGCACACTTTTCTGGAGAGGAGAGGGGAGGGGAGGGGAGGAGGGTCTGGCCGAGGAAGCACAGTGACGCTGCATGAACAACAGTCACCAGGTGTCTACCTTCTGCTTTTTGCTGGGAGGATCACGTCACTGACGCACAATGATGAGATATTTTGCAGAATCCTGGTTCTTCCTCCCACCCCCCATTCTCACAGTGGAGTTTTCTGGGCACAAAATTTTCTACTCACAGGCAGGAGGAGACAGCTGCAGGGCCACAGAGCGCTTGGTGTGGAAAAATGTGACCAAAGCATCAGACTGCTGTCTCAGTTCCCTGACACGCCCCCTCTCGTACTCCTCAGCTACATAAAAACGCCGTCCTTTTGCTTTTGGGGGGGGTCAGGTCTGAGAGATCTTGTTCCCCTCTCTTCTCATCTTGGCCAATCGAATGAACCTTTCTCCACCTCCAAACACCAGTGTGTTAAATCAATGCTTTGGTTTCTCCTGTGCACGGGGCACGTGAGCCCGAACTTGGAGAGGCGATTCTGCAACAGTGTAACCAATGGACTTGTAAATGCGCAGTGAGGCAGCCCTCGGATGTCACCAGGGTGCCCCTGCCTGGCCCGCCACGCCCAGGACCGATGGCCAGGACAAGGCGGGAGATGAGGAAAGAGGTAGAAAGCCCACAGACACAGGGGGACAGGGTGGGGGGAGGTTTGCAGGCGTCCATATGGAAAACAACACACTGACTGATAAATAGTCACACTGGAATGAACACTGTGTTTCACACACCCATGACGGTAAACCTGCTTCTGCCCCATGTGGATGACCAGAAGACAGATGGTCGCAAAACACACCACATGAGGCACAGTTGAAGGGAGTGTTCAGTCCCGAAAACCAAATACTCAGTTTCCATCTATTGGAAAGATCACGTGGAAGAGAGAAGCCCCTCTGTTCAGCTCCTGAAGGTAGAGTGAGGGCTGGAGACAGAATCATGTACCAGTAAAACATCCTTCTTTCTAACTGTCCATACAGTACTGCCCGGCAGGACAAGGGTGGCTTCCCCAGGAACGCCTGACGGGGGCCCTGGAAGGCCAGCCCCCCAGGGAAGGGAAGGTGGGAAGGAATCATCCTAAACATGAGCAACACAGGTTCTGCAGACACGTGCAGCATGGGGATGCACGCTGTGAGACGGAAGCTGCTACCGTGGATGGAAGCGTGAGTGGGAAAGGCGACAGGGACCGCTTCCCCACACTCCCTGGACTACGACAGGACGGCGCCCGCCGAGCCGAGCCAGCACTGACCACCGCAGGGGGCGGGGCGCAGCGGCGGAACCAAGACGGACCGGGAGAGCAGAGCAGCGCGGTCCCGGCCTGTGCGTGCCGTTTCTGCGCGCCGCCATCCAGGAGATTTCTCATGGTAAAAACCGGGGTCTCCGTACTCACGGGCAAGCAGAACCTCTTTATCAGACTGTGTTTTCATTCACCAAATTTCATTTTCCAGGGTGCAGATAATTTTTTCCCCGCACAAGCAATATTGGAAAAACAATAATAGGAAAACAATTTAAAAAGAAAAACATCACAGACTATCTTGCTAGTCCCAGACAACACAATTTTCCCTTTTTTCTAACTTCCTCTCTCTGCACATTCCATTTTCAGTAGGAGGGACCAGAACACCGATGGGGCTTTGGAGACCGGAGGCAGGTTCGCGTGTGCGTGTGTGTGTGTTTGAACGTCTAATGCGGCTTCAGGCAGTCAGACTTTCTCCTCTTAACCTGCCGGAGTTGAATTATTAAAAACTTGAGTCAAAAAGTGACCCTGCTCCCCATGAAGGGCAAAGGAAGTTAATAAATGGTCCCCTGAAATGTGGAGCTTCAGTAATGCATTTCTCAGCAGAGTTATAGATTTTTGCCTGGGATGGTAGGAATGAGGCTGTGATAGATTCCCCGGTTCTGTTTGGTGTGCACAAGCCTTAGAGAGCCAACCAAAGGGGAAGGTCTGCTCATGGCTAACCCTTTGCTCCACAAAGGTGGACAGACCTTCCATCCGTCTGTCCTTCCTCCCTCCCTCCCTTCCTTCTTTCCTCCCTCCCTCCCTCCCTTCCCTCCTTCCTTCTTTCCCTTAGTCACCTAGGGCTCACTCTGCCAGACCCTGTGCTGAGACCCTTGGATGCCACAGTAAAAAAAACAAGGCAATGACCCTGTTATCAACCCAACGAGTCAAATGCGTTTTATCCGAGTGCAGGGAGGAGGGAACAAGGAACAAACCAGTAAATCCATGAAGACAGGAAGGGAGAACCAAGACGAGGGTCCTGTGAGCTGCCTGTATGTCAGCAGGCCAGATGACTCTCCCCAAAGAGTGACTGTTGACCCGGAACTGAGATGCAGCTGGGAGGAGACACGTCAGGGCGGAGCTGCGTCCCCCTGAATTCAGGCACGGAAGCTTCGCCCTGCAATGTGATAGCATTTGGAGACTGTGCTTTGGGGTGGGGGTTAGGGTTCGGTGAGGCCGGAGGGTGGGGCCCTCCTGATGCGGTCAGTGCCCTTATGAGACAAGAGGCCGGAGCAGGTGTTCTTCCCTTTCCCACCCACGGGCATCGAGGGAAGGCTCCGTGAGGAGCCGAGTCCCCAGACACCACGGCCAGCACTTGGGCCTTGGACTTCCAGGCTCCAGACCTGCAAGAAGGTCATCTCCACGGTCCGAGCTGCCCACCT